TGACTTAAAGATATAGTTTGTGAGCATAATTTGTATTTTCTAACACTTTCAATAATTTGGGTCCCCATAATTTTATATAAAGAGTTGGGAGGCTGATTTTTCAGAGCCGAAAGAACTCATAAGTTTGACAGGTTCTGAGAAAAAACTTGCTTCAGCCCTGTCACCTGCTGCACAGAGTAACATATCTGACTTCACAGGTTATTTTCAGAAGCCAAGATAACTTCCTCTGGATATCTGCCACATAAAACAACTACCCCAAATAGCTTCGGGCATGCCATCATCTACACAGCTACCACTAGAACTGTGTAAGTGTAGATATATTTCAGCCAGAAGAAGTAAAAGAATCTTTTCTAAATCTCAGGTGGGGTTTGTGTTTGCCACGTTGCTTTTATTTCTTTTAATCTTTCCTTATTACATGCCTGTATTGGGGTAACAATATATTATATAGAATCCTTATGCTTTGATTTTATCTAGCAGTTGTTTATCTGTTCTGATGTGAGCTTATGAAAAGGAGAATTGCTTTTTGTTACTTATATTAACTTTTTTAAATTATACAAGTATAAATTAAGATACTATTATATATCTACACACACATAAAGATAATATTATATTGGGGGTATTTAATTATTGGAATTTAGTTACTTGGCTTACGGTTGAGCTTGAATGCTGATTTAATACAAGTTTATTGGAAGCAGAAAAAATTAGATACTAGAGTCCTGAAAGTCAAATATGATATGAAAGTAGTTAGAAGTTTAACAACAATATATCATAAAGGAAACATACATATTGGTATCCCATTTACCAAGAAGAATGTCTATTACTTTGGACCTATTTACTTTACTGATTTGCTTTAAAAAGACTAGAACAAAATAAATCTATAGACATGGTCTAAGGATTAGTGAATGGCAGGTACTAGTGCTTGAGGCATTATATTATAATGAGGAAATATACATACCTCTAACTGGGAAGCTTAACTGCTGTAAAGTTGATGCACTTATACAGTAACCAATTTGGGGCTCATAGGCGATGGTATCTAGACATTCATTCCAATCTTGCACATTAGTAACAGGACAATCCTGTAGATGAGTGACAAGGTCTCCCACGAAAAGGCCTCTGGGTCCAATGGCAGGTGAGTCCTTAGGAACAGAGTAAAACCAAATCAGATAATGCATGAAAATAAGCTATGATTAATCTGAGCAAATAATTCTTAAAGACCTTGAGTTAATTAAGTAGAATTTTTTTTTTTTTTTGAGACAGAGTCTCACTGTGTTGCCTGGGCTAGAGTGCCGTGGCGTCAGCCTAGCTCACAGCAACCTC